GTTTTATCTCATTACTGTGTGGCTGGGTTCATTCCATATGACTAACCTGATTTCTAAATTAACTCCTCTTTCTGGATTAGTACAATGCCTGTGCTTAGTTTAGTATGACCTAAATTAAGCAAATGGTTGACTTCACACAATACAGTAACCCACCCCCTCGGAAAACCCTAGTCAAAGTTAAAATAAGAAAACTTTGCATGTTGACAAATGCATCTACAGTACTGGGTTTTCCACTGAGCTGGTTCACTTCTGCTGTCCTGTCACTTTCAAACTGAGTTCGGTCAACCAAAATAACCCAGAATCCCAAAGCAAATGTAATCAGAGGTAATCTGAGGTAAACTGATCCAAACGTGGGAAAGGCAACCACTTCTAAAAACAGGGGCATGCATGGAAGGGATTGGGGTGTGTGTACTGTACGTGTCAGCCCTTCAAGGTAGACCAGACAAGGACATCAAGAGTTATGCATGCTAATACTACTTTTATTATAAGTTACAGCAACAGAATTTTGTAAGTCTGAATGTGCTTCCCTCCTTCCTGCCTTTATCTTCACGAGAACTAAGGAGGGTCTTGTCTGAGATGCTGTCTCAGGATACAGTTCTGCCCTGGACTCAGATTTCTTTTATCAGATCATTGTCTTGGTTGCAGCTCTTCCTCCTGTTCCTCAAGGTTATTCCTACTTTCCATTACAATATGTGTGTGTGTTAAAAAAAGTCAAGATGCATGTAAAAAAGGGCAGAACTGCAATTGCATGATTGTGGCCACCATCTTGACTTTTTTGACCTCATTTGCAGATACCCCTGTCTAAGAACATGTTCGTCAGAACTCAAGACCCTAAATTCTCTCTCCCCATCACACAGTCCTGCTCTGATTTGATGGCACATAATCAATCCAAAGGAAGTAAAGACAAGGTCAAACTCTTGTTTCCAGATCCTGTCGAGTCTTAGCTGAAACATGCAGGTTTTTTTTTTAACTTGGATTTTTACATTAAAAAAATAGATATATTTTTCCTTATTTTTTATTCTGTTTAAGTTTCTTTCTTGTTGTTTATTAGTTGGGGTTTTTTGGGGGGGTATTTTGGTGTTCTTTTGCATTTTTGTTGAGTTTTTGCAAACTTGTTATAAAATACAATAAAAAGGGGGGAAAAGAAGAAATGTGCAGCTTTAGTTTTAATGATTGTTATTCTAGCCAGAAAAAAAATCACTCTTATTCTTACATTCCAGATGTGGTCATGCAGAAGAAGGGCTAAAACAAAAACATTTGTAAAATATCTCAAGATCTCTAAATCGATATCCTCTCTTTACTTGGGAGAAATGGTATCCAAATGCTGTCAATAAATAAAAAAATAATAGAAGAACTACTCACCAGCCCTTGGCAACACTTGAGATGTG